TGGTTTCATTATCCAGATTGCTTTGGGGAACGGGAAGGTAGCTTCGGGGATGCTCGACCTCGGGGCCGGAATTAATCTTATGCCCTTCTCGATTTTTCAGAGGCTTGGCCTTGGGGATTTGAGGCCGACTCACATGTGCCTTCAGTTAGCAGACCGTTCCATCAGGTACCCGAAGGGGATAGTCGAGGATGTTCTCGTGAAGGTAGGAAAGCTTATCATTCCAGTGGATTTCGTCATTCTAGACGTCGGGGATGTGCACGAGAATGGAAAGGATCACACCATCCTTCTCGGTAGACCTTTCATGGCGACGACTAATACCCTCATTGACGTGAAGAATGGTACTCTGAATATGACGGTTCTGGGGGAGTCGGTGTCTATTTCTGTCCGAGAGGCCATGTCTTCATCTTTGGTAAATTTCATAGAAGAATGTGCTTTTATTGATGTTGCTGACCCTTTTGTGGATGAGATGGTATTTCAGGAGTTCGAAGACGTACTGTCGCCGTCTTTTGAGGAAGAGGAAGAGCCTATAGTGGAACTTTTTGAAGTAGGAGAAGGCCATACCCGAGCTAAGACCACACTTGAGCTTAAGGAGCTGCCCAAGCACCTTAAGTATGTTTTCTTGGATGATGCCCATCAGAAGCCGGTGATCATCTATGCTGAGCTCGACAGTGAAGAAGAAGAGGAGCTGATATCCATGCTCAGAAAGAACCAGAAGGCAATCGGGTGGAGTCTAGGAGACATCAAGGGGATTAGTCCCACTACTTGCATGCACCGGATTATCTTGGAGGATGGAGCCAAGCCTTTTCGGGATAGTCAGCGATGGCTAAACCCGAATATGATGGAGGTGGTGAAGAAAGAGGTGCTGAAGTTGTTCTCTGAGGGATTGATATATCCGGTGGCAAGCAGTGAGTGGGTGAGCCCTGTTCACGTGGTGCCAAAGAAGGGAGGCATAACCGTGATCGAGAACGACAAAAAAGAGTTGGTCCCCACCCGCATCACTACAGGGTGGCGCATGTGCATTGATTATAGGCGACTGAACGCTGTGACCAAGAAGGACCACTTCCCATTGCCGTTTATTGACCAGATCCTTGATCGTCTTTTGGGCCATCAGTTCTACTGCTTTTTGGATGGGCTCTCCGGCTATTACCAAGTGGCCATAGCACCCGAGGATCAGCCCAAGACGACATTTACGTGCCCCTTTGGTACTTTCGTGTTCAGACGGATGCCTTTTGGCCTTTGCAATGCACCGGGTACGTTTTAGAGGTGCATGTTCTTCATCTTCTCGGATATGCTTGAGGACTGCTTGCAGGTATTTATGGATGACTTCTCTATTTTTGGTGATTCATTTTCTCATTGTCTCCGTAATTTATCTCGTGTCCTTGAGCGTTGCATAGAGTCTAATTTGACCTTGAGCTGGGAAAAGAGTCATTTTATGGTGAGGAGTGGAGTTGTCTTAGGTCATATTGTTTCTTGTAGGGGGATTGAGGTCGATAAGGCCAAGGTGGATGTCATTGAAAAACTTCCCCCTCCTGTGAATGTTAAGGGGATTAGGAGTTTCCTGGGGCATGCGGGGTTTTATAGGTGGTTTATTAAAGATTTCTCTAAGATTAGTCAGCCTTTATGTCATTTGCTTGCTCAGGATGTGCCGTATGTCTTTGATGATGCTTGTTTATGTGCTTTTAATGAATTGAAGAGCAAGCTTGTGAGTGCCCCAATTGTTATTGCCCCTGATTGGTCTATTCCCTTTGAAATTATGTGTGATGCATCTAATCTTGCAGTGGGCGCCGTTTTGGGTCAACGAGTTGATAAATTGCTTCGTGTGATTTATTATGCTAGTTTGACTCTTAATGGGGCCCAACAGAACTATACTACCACCGAGAAGGAACTTCTAGCCGTGGTCTTTTCTCTTGAAAAATTTCGATCATATATTTTGGGTTACAAGGTGATTATTCACTCTGACCATGCGGCTTTGAAGTACCTTTTGAGCAAAGCTCATTCTAAACCACGGCTCATCCGGTGGATCTTCTTACTACAAGAATTTGATGTTGATATAAAAGATAGGAAAGGTTCTGAAAATGTAGTTGCTGATCACTTGTCACGCATTTTACCATCTGAGTCATCATCTTCATTGATTGTGCATCAGTCTATTAATGATAATTTCCCTTATGAACATGCGCATGAAGTGTCGAAAAGTGTTTGGTATGCTGACATGGTGAACTATTTGTGTTGTGGTAAACTGCGGCCAAATCTCTCTTTCCAAGAGAGAAAGTGTTTTATTGCTGTGTGTAGGGACTACTTCTGGGACGAGCCATTTCTTTTCAAGATGGGGAAGGATGAGGTGCTTCGAAGATGTGTTCCAGAAGAGGAGCAAGCTGATGTCCTCACATTCTGTCATGCGTTCCATTGCGGGGGCCACTTTGGCGGTCAGAAAACCGCCTTTAAGGTATTGCAGTCAGGTTTGTTTTGGCCATCCCTTTTTAAAGACGCCCATACTTTTTGCCATTCTTGTGATCAATGCCAAAGAACTGGGAATATAGGTCGCCGAAATGAAATGCCCTTGACTAACAACCTTCAAGTCAAAATTTTCGATGTTTGGGGCATCGATTTTATGGGACCGTTTCCTAAGTCTAATGGCTATGAGTACATTTTGCTGGCTGTAGATTACGTGTCTAAGTGGGTTGAGGTAATCCCCACGAAGACATGTGATGCTAATATTGTTATCAAGTTTGTGCAAGGGTATATATTGAGTAGGTTTGGGTTCCCAAGAGCAATTGTGAGTAATGGGGGGAAGCACTTTTGCAACAAGCTCTTTGAGAAGCTGATGAAAAAGTACTGCATATCACACAAAGTGGCTACTCCATATCACCCACAAACTTCGGGCCAGGCTGAGACCAGTAATAAGCAGATCAAGACCATCTTAGAGAAGACGGTCAACTCATCAAGGAAGGATTGGTCGAGCCGGCTCGACGATGCATTATGGGCCCAACGTACAGCGTATAAAGGCGTTTTGGGCATGAGTCCATTCAGATTAGTCTATGGGAAGGCTTGTCATCTACCAGTTGAGGTTGAACACAAGGCCTTGTGGGCGATTAAGAAGGCGAACTTTGATCTAGATGCAGCTGGAAAAGCTCGATTGTTGCAGCTCTCGGAGTTGGAAGAAAGAAGGAACGAGGCATATGAGAATGCCAAAATATACAAGGACAAGGTGAAGAGACTCCACGACGCTCACATAGTTCGAAAGGAGCTGGTACCGGGCATGAAAGTTCTTCTCTACAACTCCCGACTTCGTCTATTCCCGGGGAAACTCAAATCCCGGTGGAGTGGCCCGTACATTATTGATGAGGTGCTGTCTTTTGGGGCCGTTAGACTGCGTAATCCGGCCAATGATGAGCTGTTCACGGTTAATGGACAACGAGTGAAACCCTACTTCGAGATAGAGTTCGGGAAGTATCATGTCGAGACCATCGGTCTCGGCGAACCAGCGTATCCTTGATCTAGCTGAGCTTTATTTGTACTTTGTGTATATATGTATATCTATATATTTATTTCTTTCTTTTTCTTTTTATATAAATAAAAAAAAAAAATGTGTGTGTGTCGCGACTCGCGAAATATGTCGCGAGTCGCGAGATTCTCGTCCAGATTGGCCATCATACTCTCGCGCCTCGCTAGAAATTGTCGCGACTCGCGACTTGAATAGTCGCGACTCGCGAAGCTGTCGCGAGTCGCGAGTAGCCCCTCATTTATATGTCATCGGCCTCAGTTTCTTTCGCGAGTCGCGAAAATTGTCGCGACTCGCGACTTTAAAAAAAAATAATAATAAATAAATAATAATAATAAACTGGGAATTAAATCGGATTTCTTCTGCAGGTCTTCAATCTCTCTCGCGAAGAATGAACAGGACACAGAAAAAAAAAAAATCGCGTCCCGAATTTTTTCCCTCGGCAATTCGACCACCGTGCCTCTCCCATCGCC